TAAAGTCTAATAAAATATAAAAAAATGAATAAAAATTGAACAAAAAATACAAATAAATATTTTAATTATGTGTCATTTCCAGCAAAACGAAAAATACCTATCAGAGACTCACACGACAGTCTAGCACGCCCTCTCCTTCGTACACCTCTTTTGTGTTTTGCTTTGTGATCACGTTTTGTCAGCGTTTATTCGTTTCTTCAGTGTTGTCTCAACAAGTTCTAAATCATGAAATGACGAAGAGCGCGCTCCATGCAAGTTTGATAAAAGTTCTATCGATGTGCAGTAGAGCATGAGGCGACTCGACATTGTCTCGCGAATCTCTGATACTCACCTTTCATTTCACTTGGATTCTGTAAAAGATTTATTGTTCTGGAATAAGTTCTTTTGCCATAGATATACTAGAGACTCTGAAGAAGGATTAACACTTGGGAATTGGTTTTGAACTTCTCATTCGATTATAAGCACATATTTTCGTTTGTATATTCGTACTCTGTTATGTCACTAACGAAAAATAGATCAGTTTTATGCAACGTAAACATGTTTAGTAAAAAAAACTTTCGACAGAGACTTTGTAACCTTAAGAGTTGTCTACAGAATGTAATATTTAGTTTTAAAAAAATGCCGTCTCAATTCGAAAGTTTTGTTTTAAACTGAAATGCATGAAGTGAGAGTCGATGTCCTTTTTAAGATTAGCTTTTTGTACTGATACCTTCTCTAAGCAAAAGTCAATAACGCTGATTTTTTTCAGGGTATGTAGAATAACTTAACATAAAAACATTAGCTATAGAAAAGCTCATTATTCCGAGATGCACGTGTTTTAATTTCGCCAAGTCATGTTGCTCACGAATGATTTTACTCATATACACTTACATTCACATCAACTTCACAAGATAATTGATTCGATTCAAATACTTCAGGTAATCGTTCATCAGATAATGGATATATACCACGTGAAAGTGCATCAAATCTAAAAGCATCTATCTAATAAATATTCTAATTTATTTATATAATTTTACTTTCGAGCTAATTCATATATTTGTTTACGATTTCGTTGTTTACAACTATCGACTTTTGCTATTTTAATTAATTTTTCTGAAAGAAGTTTATAATTAAACTAAAATTGAAGATAATAAATTTAAAATATTTATAATAAATAAAAATCAAATATACTTGTAGAACAGTATCATCTTGTTGTTCATTTTCATTGTTTATTTCCATTTCTTCTTCAATGGCTTGCCGACCAAATGGTTGTATTGTTTCCATTTCTTGTTCAGCATCTGGATCAATACCAACATCCGAATATTGAATTATTGGTAAGAATAGATTTTTATAAACATGTTTAATAAGTACTTCACTAGACATTTCAAATAAATACTTTTAGGAAACGTATAAAAAAAGCATAATTATTTACTTTTCAGATGCTTTAATAATATGAAAAAATGGTGATAATAAAAGAATTAATCTTTTTGGTTTTAATTCTATACCACCTATTTGAGCAAGTTCTTCTAAATAAATATCACTTAGATGTAATTTTAAACCATCACAAGATCGATTGCCATTAGCACTAAGTACATTTTGACGAAGCATTTTTGTAAATTTTATTATATCAGCTTTAAACCATTTAAGATTTTTAAGAAAAACAAATGATTCACGTAGAAGATAACGTACAAACTATTTAAATAAAATAATATTAAATATGAAAACAATAAAATAATAATTTTACTGTCATAAATTTGCTCAAACGCCATCGATCAATACCCCACCATTCACGAGCAAATGTAGCAAAACCAGCATTGATATATAAACGTGCTTGATCATTATCACGAAATTCATGAATCCAAGATGATATTTCTGTAGCTAATTGATCCTTTATATTAAACATAGAGAAAGAAAAATTTACGATTATAAAAATTTTACTTGTAAAATAGGTTTATCAGCCATCCACATATTATAATAAAGACCTTTCCAAATTTTAATTAAATCATCATATGTAAAAAAACTTGTTGGATTTAATGTTCGAGCATTTATCCATGATTTAAGTCGTTCAACAGCTTTTGTTCGTTGAGCTTTACTCGAATCGACTAATTTATGAACAAGAATACGTTCAGGTTCAAGTTCTGTTAATTGTTCTTCATGATTATCGTTCGATTTACGTGGCATTCTTGAACAAATCACATTAACAAAAAAAATCTAACAAAAAAAAAAAACAACAATTAAACAATTCAAATATGATTGGTTATTTTTTTTGACGAATAATCTTTTTGATATTTTTTTTGCGTTCTTTATTCTTGTTTATTATTGAACATGTTTGACTATTATTATATGAGCTCCTCTTCACTGAACATATTATTGACACAATCTAATCTATATTTAGATCATGCCATTGGTTTCTTTATTTGATCGATCTTTACCAATTTCATCCTCATTTAAACAATCAACTAATATTCATACAACACAGGTAATGGTGTCTTAGAGAATTGAAATAGTTCATGTAAAATTTTGATGTCTGTTTTTTTGCTCCAATTGCATTTTAATCTTATTTGTTGCTCGAAAATGTCTTGTTAAAGATAGACTTTTTTTTTTGTAATCGGATCATTTCATCTGTTACTTGAATGTGTCCTTCTGACGTAAACCATTAATAATATAAAGAGTAATCGACACCACTAGTCTTCTATATGTTAGTCTCATGAATGTGCAAATGAGACATAGAAAGTGAAGGTCGTATTCATCATCTTTCATAGATTTTTCATTAAGAATGAGAATTTTTCTATTTCGGACAACACTTTTGTCCTTCGAACCAAATGTCTATCTTGATAAGAAAAAGTATATATATATATATATATATAGGCATACGCAACTAATGGTTATTATTTCTGCCTAAATTTATAGTCATTTTGATGTGATCCAACACTATTACCTATACAAATCATTTTCTGTTCACGTAAACATTGATCCTAATTATCACACACGTTCTATCTCAATAGTTCATCTTTGCTTTTGTCTGTGTATGCAGACAGATCGTCAGTCATTTATCGAGGTCAGTAAAACTATCATCATCATTATTGTCAACTTTCCAGAGAGATATTCTTGGTAATTATTCAAGAGATATATACATTTTATGCATATGTATATATACACATACGAAAGACATTGAACAAACTGAGCTGTACATGAAACAATAAATAAATATCTATTCGTGCGTATGCCTATATCAAAGTTGTGATATAATCGACAATGATTATGCGTGATTCGACCAACAATAATACTATTGCCATTAACTATCGTTGTAACATTGATGATTGAATGCGCGAACGGATCGAATACAATGTTGGCTTGTTTTTTTGGTTGCACGAGAGAACGCAAGCGAACATTGGTAAATGGGTTTTTCCTCTCTCTTTTATATTTCCCGATTGGATTTCTCTTTTTTTTGAGTTGAATAGTTGGCCTTTTTTTCTTTTATAGCCATGCATTCTTTCTGATCGAAATGTCAACGGTGCTGCCAAGGAGAATGGCTGTGAATCGTCCTTTGCTAAGCATCAACAGCAACATCATCATCATCAACGTAAGTTAGTTATATCCAACCGAGAGTAATCATAACAATATATCGAGTGAAATTGAACACGAGAGGTGGATAAAAAAAACTAAACAAAGAAACAGCTGCAGCTGTTCGCAAATGTGTTCACATGTTTGATGTTTCCCGCTGTGTTCGAATATGGATATTCTCATCATTACCATATGAACAGAAAGAAATTAAAAAAAAAATGAAAAATTTTGTAATGGTGATAACAAATTCTTTTCTTTTCTTCTCTTTTCATCAAGGTTCTTCTTTCAATTATATCCTATCAATTTAGATATGAAGAATGAATATTATAAAGGCTATTGTATATACATATTGGGTGGGTCAATGTTCTACGTGTTTGTATGTGTGTGTATTAAGACGATTGAACCCATTTAATATTGACAATATGTATGTGCCATTAGACGATCGACAGTGTTTGTAGACTTGCCCTTTTGTTGCCTCTAAAGTATAATCATTTATTCTAATTTCACAATAGTTGTATATGGTATACTACATAGTACCATACCGATCAGTCTCTATGATTAGATGTTATCGCTCACTTTATTCATCGATGGAAGAAATAGAAAATGTAGAATAAAGAACATTTATACATATATATATATATATATATTGAAAACAGACAAAAGAAAAAAAAAGACTACTCATAGCATGCTATGAGAAGCTCAGTGAGCGAGGCAAGGAGAATGCAGGGTAATTGAAGAGAACGTGTTGTATGGCTTTATAGACGTGCGAGAGTTAAAGAAAGAATTAGTCGGCTATTTGCCATCATTCTTTTTCTTTCTGCGGATCAACAATTGAATCAATCGTCGCTAGTCCGTTCGCACAATTGCGTAAGTGGAAAAAAAACGCCGAGAACAGAATTGTCTCACAGACAACCATAACAAACTCATCCCTATAAAATGCGACAGACAAAACGAGAAATAATCAGCATACAGAATTAGTTTAACTATTGTAGTAGTTCTTGACCTTATTCATCAGGCATTGTCTGTCTTTTTTCATTAGAAAGGAAAAAGATAGACAGATTGTATTCACTGAGAGACCATGCAGAAGCATCGGTCATACATATATACATACATATATATATATATCTTTCTCCCCCTTTCCTTCTTTTTTTTTCTTCGCCGTTGGATAATGAATGTCCAGCGCACAATGGGCTAGATGGAATTTATCGTTTGTTCTGCTCAGCTGAGTTGCTCTCTCGTGCAGCTGTTCACCTATTCATTTGACGAGCACGCGTATACATGTATGTTTATAGTGTAGAAAGAGGTGTATGCCCTCCCGTCATAACCACTCGACCTGTCATGTATGACTTCATATTTGAAGCTGCATACCTATTTATCAGAGTGCCTCTTTAGATGCAATTGATCGTACATTGACCGATTTTTCAAATAATAATAATCACAACAATAACAGTTTTTCGATGAGTGCAGCAACAGCATCATGTTCCTCATTTCAACCACATGTTGTATCTGAAGAATCTTATTGTTCACCATGGGATTTAAAAACACAAGAAGAAAAATTAAAATTACTCAGTGAACAACGATCAACATCATCATCAAATACTATAACAGCATTAACTGATGCTTTACTTCATCCATCTAATACGAACAATCGTTCAACATCTTCATCATCTTCTTCCAATAATAATAACAATGCATTTCATCGTACTCGTTCAGCACGTACCACATCATCAACAAAAAAATCGCTTACACTTCGTGAACCTTCACCACCTTTACTTCCTCCATTACCACCTGGTGGTTTAATACTGCCGCCACCACCACCAACAACTAATGTCACATGCCAATGTGGTAGTAATAATAGTACTCGAAATCGATCACTTAATAATAATAATAATAATAATTCGATGAATGAAAGTCTTGATCCATCATTAAAAAAAATTTCCTATTGTCTCAATGCACATGCTATTCGTTCGGGTACAGATACTTCACGTAGTTTTGTTTTTGCATCTTCATCACCATCTAATGAACATTCACAACGAGTTAATACAGCACCAGCTAAAGTTGATTTATCATATGTAATTGAAAATCGGCAAGAATTAACAAATATAACAACACAAAATAGTACAATATCTTCATCATCATCATCATCATCAGCTGAATCACCATTGATCACAGACGATACGAAACCGATGTCATTTGAAGTAGGTCTTTTTTTGATAAGAAATTATGTATTTACAAAAGTCATAATTTTTTTTCTTCTTTTTTTTCATCGTTCCTTATAGGCTGCCTTACAACGATTTAAACGTTTAAGTTCATCAACCCGATGTAATAATACAAATGTTTCGGTATCTTCTTCATCTAAAACACAAATTACAACTAATCCAGAATCACCCATAGCTTATGAACGACCATGGGATACATTACAAACATCTCTTATCAATAGTCTTTCATCTCCACCATCATTAACAAATAGTCGTAATGGAGGAGGTTCATTACAAAAGATGTCTATCACAGAAGAATCAAAACAACATTGTTCACCACCATTTCCTATGGTTTCTCCTACAATTACAACTTGTCGACATAGCACATGTTCACCAGATGATAAACATAATATTAGTAATACAAACATAGGAGGCAAGAAAACAAAAGATAAATGTTTTATTTAATTAAAAACAATTTCGTTTTTTCTTATTCACATAGAAATCAATAAGACAAACAGTCGTAGCCTTGTTCCATTAACACCAGATATTGATACGACAATTCCAATCGATCGGTATTTGTAAGTATCGATCTCGAATTTCACTCAAAGCTCATATATATGTATTTATTCAGTTGGTATCATTATGCAATGTCACGACGGACAGCTGAAAATATTTTACAAACTCGTCCACCTGGTAGTTTTCTTGTACGTCAAAGTGAAAGTGGAAATCAAAATGATTATTCACTTTCAATCAGGTAAAATGAAAAAAACAAATTTTTTGTCAAATATTTCTTTTTTGCTTTGAATAGAACGGCAAAAAGTTGTATGCACATGCGTATATGTTACTCAACAGGTGTTTATATTCTTGGAGAATGCTCAAGACCATTTCCAAGTGTATCACGTATGATTGAATATTTTAGTCAAACATCGGTACCTATACGTGGTGCAGCACCTATTAAATTGGGTACACCTGTATTTCGATGTGAAACATTGACATCATCACCTAATAATCATCATTGTAATGAAGGAAATGAAGAACTTTTGTAATTTATTTACATTTGATTTTGTATATATATATATATAGAAACATCATTTATTATTCTTTTTTGGTACATGACAGCAACAAGTTTTCTTTTCTTTTTTTTTTGATACAAGCAGATAGTTTGTTTCCTTTTGTTTTTGTTTCTGTTATACAACATTTATGTTGAAATATCTGGTGATTTTTTTTTGTTCTTTTGGTCTTCGACTTTCGTGCATTAGCCAATGACTAATTCAGAAATAAATAATATTATTATTTGATTAAATAACAATAAACATCTTTTTTTTTAATGTGATATAAAATATTAAGAATTAATGATTTTTTTTCGTGGGTAAAAGAACATCGATAGCTAACGACACACTTCCTACAAACCTCTTTCTGTTGCTTTGACAATAACAGTTATTTTTATATTGATGATGGCAACCGCAATGGTTTTTCATTTGTCGATCTTGTTTCTTTCAACAATTTCAACGAAGAAATGTCACGAAACTACAGTGCTTCACAATATGAGAAAACATATTCACCAAAACGTTTACAAATGTATCAAATACCAAAAGATCCACAACCAGGCGTGGTTAGTAATCTTGAAAAAAGAAAAAGTTATACTTTGCATGTTCTAAAATCGATCAGAAAAATTACTTTACTTAATCTTAATCTTTTAATAGGATTAATAAAAAACGATAAATTAATCAATTTTACATAAAGATCTAAAAAGAAAAAGAATTTATTTTATCGAGAAAAGATTTATACATTGAAATGCATCATATTCTCGATTTAATTAAGTATAAAATATAAATATTCTGTTTATTTTAGCATCCAAAAGCATCGATGTCATTGAATACTAGTAGTTTTGTGGCTAACGATCGTGGTCATCTTTTACCAGGTATTACAAGATCAAAACGATCACCATTTGGTGAATTCATTGGAACTTGGGATTTGCCAAAAAGAATACCCGGACCGTTTCATGTTCATTCAATGGGACGAACAGAAAAAAATTTTAATGCACTCTGTTCACAACGTGATGAAACAATTCGAGAAATGGAACAAGCACGTGTCTATGCAGTATGTTTTAATAAATTCTCTATAATCCGATATTTGTCTATTTATCTGTGATTTTTTTATTGTAGAAAGAAGAATCGTCTGTTCATCGAACGTCATAAAATATAGACAATTATTTAAGCAATATCCAAAAGACTTTTATTTTTTCATTTAGTCTAATTCTTTTCTTTCGCTTGTTTTTGTCGATTCTAAATGATTTGACTTGTCTGAATTTTTGTACGATCCATATGTTCATTAAATTCAGCGGTTTTTTGTAATGGACTACGTGGTCCAGCAAAAATCATCTGAACAAGATCATCAGCTCGAATATGTTTATGTGCAGCAATTGTTTGAATTAATATTAGAAAACCATCAAAATCAATATCACGTGTACCTTGTGGATAGACACCATTTAATGTAAAATCTCCTAATATTGAAATAAAATCTTTATCAAGTTCATTTATTGTATATTTATCATCGAATATTCGACATTCACGCATCCAATTACTTAAAACAGAATTTGTTAAACGTGCTTCTAAATGTGAACTTTGACGGCGATATGCAAATGTAGCAAATTCTTTATAAAGTGAACGTAAACGTTTACGTTCATCATCTGTTAAATGTAATTTACGACTTTCTTCAATAACATCACGCATAATATTAACAGCAACTAGAACCTTTTGTTGTTGATTTATTAAAAGGAAAAAAAGACGTTATCTTTTAAATAATAGAAAAATCAAATGACTATACCTTTTTAGAATCCCATGGACGACTTGTTTGTTTGCCTGTTCCAACTTCTAACGGAATACGTTCAGTTTCAACTCGCCATCTTTGAAATGAAAATTCGTCAGCTATAAGCATTTTTTTAACAAATTCATTTAATGATAGATGCATTTGCCTTGCTAATATTCGAATACAATCCATAAAGCCATTCCATTCAAAAGTATCTGTACCTAATTTATATATATTAGCATTGATATTACGAGCTAAAATACTATGTAGTACACCTTCTATAAAAAAAAAAGAAGAAATATATTGGATACAGAATAAAAAAACGCAGTTAAATTACAAATACCAATTATATTCACTGAGTATGTATCTGAAATGACATGTGATGCACGAAGCCATTGAATAAATACATTTTCTCTAATCAATCCATGTTCAAATTGTTCCGAAGCTAATTTAAATAATTCAAATAATTTATTCATTAAATCATTCTAATAAAAACATGGTTCGTTAATCGTAGAGTTCGAATAATTTTGCTTACATCAAGTTCATCACGTACAATCCATGGTTCAAATATATGCGATATTTTGAATTTTGGTGATTCCTTTGATGATACTTTTATTGTTGATGATAGCCTTGATTGTTGTTTTTCATCGAATTGAGAAGAAAACAGAATACTTTGTCGTCTTGATTTATTCATATCGATACTTCGATCTTGTTTGTTAGTGCTTGATAAATCATTTTTTTTGCTACTATATGCTGACGACTTTAATTTTTTCTTTTTTTTTGTTGTTGATTTAACTGTTAATTGAATTTTCTTTCGACCATTTGTACTAGGCTTTGTTTTCTTTTTCTTTTTCTTCATGATTCGCCGATCATTGATTTTCATTTGCATCTAATTAGTAGTGTTACGTAAGGTTATCGCAAATTGTTTATAAATGATTATTTCTCTAATTGTTAATCAATTATATGCTGGTTAAAATTAATTTAATATAAGAAAACATTACGAAGAACTGCTGTTTCCTTTGTCAGCTCATTTACTTTTGCATTAAGATACTATTTATTTATCTTTTAACGGGTGATTAGAAAGTTTTTAGATAAGATGTGTTCATTTTTGACTCCTCAGAAAGTATTTCCGACGAGTTAGAACCAAAACTTTGTGCACTTCTCAAATATGGGTTTACAAATTTTATCTCAATTTCTTAGTTGCAAGCAATGAAATGATCTTTGAAAAGCCGAAAAACTTAGTTTCCATGAGAAACTTTTTTGCGCATTCTTATATTTTCACTATTGTGATTCAAAATTAAAAGCTGCAATCTTTACTTATATACCAGCTTGTATGTTAGAAGCTACCCTATCAAATATATCATTTGAAAAATTTTTGACGTTCAAGAAGCTACTTGAATTTCCGTTTTTTTTCTACGTAAGCATTTCTGAAAAAGCAACAACCATTTTACATTAAAAGGAGCTCTTGAAAAAATGATAGAGTGAAAGCTATACCTTAGTTCAATACCACATTTTGTAGAGAAACATTCGTCCTAATAAACGATTGACTTCGACAACTTTTTGCATGTTCGAAGAGGAATCTATATGGTAAATAAATACCTGTTGACTCACCATCAAAAATAATTTTTCAGATCTCTCACAACTCTTGAACAAAAATAGATACAATATATCTAAGCACAAGACTTTGCTCCTAACTTTTCGGAAATACTTTCTAATGCATCAAAAGTGAACAAACATCTTGTCTAAAAACTTTTCCATCATCCGTAACAATTTACGAATCTGTCTATTTTTGTTTTTCTGTTATCTAATAGTGGAATAGAATGACAAAACGGTAATACTGGATGATTAAATCTATTTGCTTTTATCTTCCGTTCCATCCTTAGAGCAAAGAAAAATAGATTGACTTTTCAAGAGTAAAAGATGTAAAAATTTTATCTTGACATAAAAATTACATGAAATGACACAGGAGACAACTGTTCTTTGAAACGTTTTTCTATATTAAATTAAGTTTGAAATTTATAATTTAATTTTAATCAACATATAATTGATTAGAAGGAAGAGAAAGAAATATTTCTAAACGATTCATTTTCAACTATAAATCTAAAAAAAGAATCTGCAGCAAAGACATTTATAATAAATATCAGTATGTCGTCGTGTTTGTTTGTGAGAAGACAAAATTACATTCTTGTTTAATTCATGCGATCATGATAAACTATTCTCTAATCTCAACAAACATAAATCCCATAGAAGAAACTTTACTCCTGATTTGAGTTTAATACTAGCAATGACAATGATGCATAATTATATTTAATATAAATTAAAATAACTTGTATAATAAAGAATAACTGAAAAAATACAAAAGTTATCAGTGTTATTTATAACGCACAGGAACGTTATAAATATATTGTGAAAAATTAAAGTTATTTGTTTCTACTTCTTCACAAATCTCGCTTTTATAGCTGTGCTGCAATGAATTGCTGATTATAAATCTTGATAATTAAGGACAAGTGCATAACTATGTGTAGTTATGTATTGCATTCTACTTATTGCTCGTTTTTCGTATTCAATATTGGTGTCTAAACATAGACGGCGCACAAGCACTACAGAAAGGTAGCAATAGCTTTCCTTTAAAGTAATTTAGAGAAGCAATAGGAATGTATTGCTTCCTTGAATTTTCAATGCCTTCTGTTTATACTAGAGTAATGTTAATTAATCTAACATATATATTCAATACGACTATGTAATTCATGTAGGAATATTGACCCATAAGTCTCATGATTTTTTTTATGATAATTCTGATATAATTTATCTTCATATATATCCGACATACGATTATTTTAGTAATGCGTAATTGACATTTTGATTATTTCTCAACTCTCTCCCGCTGCAACAATTGATCTGCAAACTTTGTCGTTACATGAAGACCAATAGCATGATTGTAAATCGGCTTCCGTATCTCTAAGACTTACTATATAATACTTAATGAATTTGATCAAAAGAATTTAAGTCTGATTAAGCAAAATTTATTAGACGAAACGCAAAGACTAATCTTCGTTGATGTTTTCCACTAATAAAAATGGGTTTGCATTCAGCATTCGTAGTCTGTTTGTTTTTCTTTTTAACAAAATTTACAATTTAGTGTTTTTTTTTTAAATTTAAATCCAAAATGTTTGAAACAAAAAAAAACAACTTATCTATTACTTCGAAATCAGAAAGGGAATCAACTAGCTGCTAACAATAAATATTTAAACAATCTGAATGACAACATCTATATCCTTCTAGTTGATTGTTATGTCGGTAATTTTTTCAAGAGAAGAATCATTATTCAAATTTCAGATAAATTCTTATATGAATATGAATGTGAGAACACAATAGTTGATAAGCAGAAGATGATGGCAACAGAAATTTGAAGTTTTCCTAAATTATAATGATTCGCACTCTTATTCAATGTACAGGTCTCAATAGCAAATTAACTTTTCTTACATCATTATATTGATTAATAAGCGCATTCATTGATGGTAATAAGCCAAGTTGAATTTTATCTCGAATTTCTTTTAATTTAATAACATCATTATAAATTTGAGAACCAATGATTTTCTTTAAAATTTCATCTTTACTCGTATATAAACGATTTTTAATTATGTCAATTAATTGAACAAAACCACAAAAATCAAAAGCTTTACTTTTTCGTTCATAGATTTTCTTTTTTATCATTTGTTTACGTAAATTATTCCAATCATTAATAAATAATAATGATGTATAATTATTGTTAAATATTTCTGAATTTTCTAATAATTTTAACATATTTTCACGTGTTATTTGTTTTATTCCATTGATATTATCAGCGCATTCATCAAATATTCGTAATAAACAACCAATAATATCATCTTGATCAAGAAACATATCATTAAAACTTATAAATTGTTTTTCAATTTGAATTTCATCAATAAGATCACGCATTATTTGACGTGTCGTTTCATAATCATGTTCATCTAATACACTAGAATCTGATAAAATTGAATCATTTTTTGGTGTTGTTGCTGAGCCAATACTAGTCGTAGCAGCACTACCAATTGAAAATGCATGATTAAAAACTAGTATTGTTTTACGATGTCCTGTACTTGTTGTGCTAGCTGGTGTGGGATGAGAAGAAGATACTGTTCGAGTTTTGGTTAATAACATATTTTATTTATTTTATAAAGAAGTGATGAAAAAAAAATTAAGAAAGAATAATTTTCGTTCTTCTTTAGTGATATATTTTTATTAATGCTTATAATATTTAAATAAATGAGCTTTAAATGATATTTCGTGATTCATTTTACTTGAATTATATGTGAAATAGATCTGTAATATATTCTTTATTTTGATGAGTTAAATTATCTGCTGGTTGGTTTGGAAAAACTTCATGTTGATTGACTGATATGAAAGAAACTTTAGGCGGTTTTTTTTTCGTTTTTATATTGAAAAAAATTCAAGATTTATTTTCTCCTTCGAAAAATTTTTAGATTTGGTTTTAAGTAGAATCCCTAATCACGACGATGTATAGGGGATCTCTCATAGACTTATCAAATGCGCTATCTAATTGACTTTGCCAGTGTTATAATTTTTACATGGCTGTGCGTACCGAAATGTTGTCTATGTCATAGCAAAAACTGTGCTAGGACATCATTTCGCGTTCGTGAATTATTCAAAAATTAAGAAATCTAAAAAAAATGTCCGTTAGTCAGAACGTTGGTACTCAAAGATGCAACTATTTCTTTATTTAGATTTATCTCGATAAAAGATGCAACAATAAGTAGTAAGTTAAATATATAACTTATTTTTCTTTTGTTTACGAGAGGAGGGAGTAAGAGAGCGTCGCCACCTCTTCACTAAGGAGAAGCTTACGTGAATATAATGGCAAACACCGATGTATGGGCGTTTACGCGAGGCGTATACTCGTTGTATATGATATGACGAGATACGATCCTAATGCAGAAGACAAGTAATACAACGAAATATGATTGTATACGGCCGTTTAACACTGTCGTAATGCTCATTCTGAATTGTTACTAATATGTAATTGCATAATATCTATCTTGTAATAATTACTGACTTGTTTGTATTGAAATGTTAGTTGATTGTTTTAATAGACAATAATCAAGTACTCATTATAAATGAAGGTTAGAAATTTTGCACTCGATTTCATGCATATAAACTGATCTTATTTTTATGTGCTTTTTACGCGCATTTTGTCATTGAAATTGTTCAACAATGGATTGTAATAAATATAGAATTCCATGAGTATCTCATTAAAAATGTTGTTCCGTGTTTGGAACAAATTCTTTATTAAGAATATGGTTATTCTTTGATTGACATAATTAACGATGAGAGAAATAGGAAGAGATTGATAATTGAAATTTAGTTTGATATTGACTATGATAACACTTAGGAGAGAACATATCCAACTGTAGGACGTCATTTGACCACGCATTATGGCTACAAGTAAGTCTTATTGAGACTAAGACCAGCATAAAAAGACTCGGGTTTATGATCTAGTGATAAGGAGTTTTAGACGTTCTAATGAAACTTCCACTGCGAGCAAGCCTTTTTCGAAAAATCTAGAAAAAATTTTTTCCACGTAAGATTTTGTCTATAGGTACGTTTGATAGTCATTCGATAGTTCTGAAACTTTCAACGAAAACGATCATGTCTTTCTCGAGATATTCAATATCTAAAGAAGCAGTGATCTAAGATCGGAGGCACTTTCGGGACTATCAAACGTGCCTAGAGGCCAAAATTTCAGATCGAAGCTTTTTGCTTCGGGTTTTTAGAATTGTTTTACTCAGTACAAATTCCATTTAAACTTCCATAACTTTTTATCACCCGAACATGTTTTCGAATCATTGTACACTTGTTTTAGTCTCACCGAAATCTACTCATAGCCATAATATGAAGTCGAACAGCATTCAATAATTGAGCATACTCTCTCGTTCGAGAACGATGAATGTAAAAAACGTCTTCATTTAAAAATGATAAGATGAAGCATTTATTGAATGTTGAGAAAACAAGATATCAACGATATTATTGTTAGAAGCTTCTCGAAGTTTTGGATCGAATATTAAGTATTAAAATACTTTTCTTCTTAATAAAGTATGCATAAAACTAAACATTAATCGAAAAATTCAACAAATATTAGTGCCATTTACTTTTAATCGTTAATTTCATAAATTTCTCAGATTTAACTTTTGAAATCGAACGTCTCATAAGCAAGAAATAATTGATATTTTTTACATTACATTCATTCATCGGTTTCATTTATTGAGTTGAATTACTTCACATACTAAAGTTTTAGGTTTAAATATATCTAAGATTAAGAAAACAAGTTCATTTCTTGAAATATTTTAAAATCCATCTTTTAAGTTTTTTGAGAAAAAAGACTGGACTTCAAAGTTGTAATATCCAATGAGAACATCATACATTCAAAAACAAATCTACTCATTTATTCACATACATTTATATATCAATGAAATACCGATGTAAAGCAAAGCTTGTCTTAATTCTCAGCGACACCTATCAAGGTGTGTTCCGCAGAGATGTATTCGCATCGGCATTGCAAACACCAATGAAAATGCATCAAGGTCAATCACACGTTCTATTGCAATTTCGTTATATCCTTTGGTCATATTAGATGAACTTTAATCCTTCGTATATGAACAATGAAATATTTAGTCGTATTTTAGATAAATTACTCAATTAAATCAATGATATCACTTACACCAAAACTATCTCAAGTTGAATCATGGGATCGCTTACCATCCGACTGGCATAATGATGAACGTATGGATGCATTATTTGCTTTTTTTAAAGATCGTGATTTAAATCCTGTTCATTATGATGCTAAAATGAAATTCTGGAGTGAAACAATAATAACTTATTGTGAAGACCATGGTCTTTTACAAATTGATATTCCAACCATTGTTTCACGTTTTCGTCGTAAAGGAAAAAGTCCAAAATGTCTTGATAAAATATTTGAAGAATTAATAAAACAAAATCGTCTTATACCAACAAATGATTATACATCTTCACAGCAATCATCATGGTTATCATGGACATTTAATAAATTAGCAAGTCCACTTACAGGTTGGATGTCAACTAAAACACCAATTGAGCAAGAAGTTTTTGTTATTAAAGAACTTGTTGATGTAAGAAATAAGAAAATATTTTCTTTTTAAAGAAAATAACATTTTTTTGTCTATTTTAGAAAAAAGCTCAACAAGTTATTGAAACATTACAATCAAATGTTTATGTTCCAACATTTGATTGTGTTGTTTCATTTAATTCGTTTATTGATGCATGTCGTCGATGTGCATTATTTGATGAAAATTCAATTAATTTAATTATATCAGGATTAATAAGAGATAAAAAAATTTTAATTGATTATGTCGGAGATACAAAAAATGTTAAAGTAAAGAAAAAGCATAACAATAAAACGTAATTTTTAATTAACTATTTTTAGGTTGTTAAATTTGTTGCACCTGGAACATCGAACGTTCAACCCATAACTGAAATAGAAAATAGTGTTCTTTTGTAAGAAAGAAAGAAAGGTTTTCATTATTAAGTTTTTCTATTCAATTCTATTTAGATTACGCCATTCAAAAGAACGCTTAGAAGAACAATTAAAAAAATCTGATCAACAAATTGAAGGGTAAAATAAAGTTATATGAGTGAAGTGCGACTTTTTTGTACATTTGATGTTCCCAAGTATCTATGCAATAATTTTTGTTCCAATCGAACGATTTTAAAGTGCTTTTAATTCTATTTCCTTCGTAGTTCAACACACTCACATAAAATTCCATGTTTCTATCTTGTCTCGTTTCTAAGTTACATGATTGCAGATTTAAAAAATGGTATGTTTAAGCGAACCTATTGTCTGGAAAAAATAAAATATAAGTAGGTCATTTTGTGGTTTGCATATCACTCTATTGAAACAAGTGATTCACTGGTCTATACATCTTTTCGTTCGTATTAGATATGAGAAACATGGTCGTCGAACTGAGATCAGGACTAACACATTTTAATTGGGAATGTTATCATTTATAGTCGTATAAGACTTGCGTTAGAAAATGGTATTGCATTGTTCGCTAGCATATGTATTATTAAGCGCGAAATCAGAACTAATTCTTTTTCCGACTAGAGCCAAAAACGATTGATCCCACTCATCACTAGTTTATATACATCTGTTCTCAACATTCGATGACAGACACTTTTCCATTTTAATGTACAATGACACAAAATCATTGCTTCTGTATGTTAGAAAAGACTTGAACAGAAAACCAATATACTAAATAATACAGAACTTTTTAAGTTGCTTTTTGATATAAAAAATGATTTCTCTTATTCCTAATTAAAGAGGGATCGGAGTACCACCACCAAAAAAAGTGTATTCACTCACTTTGTACAGTGATATTTCCAAAATTATTTGATCTATAACTTATGAATATTTGTTCTGGCCTCATTCAAATTCTCAGATTAAATAGAACTCAAAAAGTGATATTAGCGATAACAGTTTCAATTCTATTACTTTTACTGTTTCCAATGAACTCAAATTATACCACAAAATGTACAGTGGCGTTTTCTTTTCTGCAGATATGCTTAGCTAAAACAACACAAAAATATTCTTTTTGAGTATAATTTAATTCAGAAGAATTTGACTAACAAATCTGAATGTATGGTGCGCTATTATTGGCTAAATAGTTTTTATGCAAAGCTGAAAAAATAATACGAGCCTTTTTATCGAATAAAACCAATTTAATTAGTGAAGTGTTGGAAAAACTTTCCCATATAACACATAGGCACAACGTCTAATCAAGTATGCTACTCAGAAATTTTTCATTTTTTTTCCACTGTTTATATTAAAAGGTTGCAATTCACTCATATATATATATATATATAATCATTAGAAAAAAAAAACTTTCGTTTATCATTTAGATTACTTACGGATATTCGTCGTCATTTAAAAAATAGTAATCGTACAGCAGCTATGAAGTTATTACGTAAGAAAAAGATACTTGAACGTGAATCTGTAAAGAAAGAAGGTACTGTTGAACATCTCAATACTGTTTTAACACAAATTGAACAAACAGATTGTTCATCATTGGTAAAAAATTAAAAATCATTTTCTCGAGAAAAAAAAAAACATATTCTTCATTGTTTTATTTTATTTCAAGGTGATTAATGCTTATTCGTCAGGTGTTCAAGCTCATAAAGAATTATTACGTAAAAATGGTCTTACACCAGATGCAGTTGAAGATATGATCGATGAAGTACATGATGTAAGAAGATTTATTTTTTCATGAGTTCTGATATTAGATATCACTTTTGCAAAGATTTTTTAATCGTATCTGTCAACTTGTTGAACGGACAGAAGCGGAACTAGTGGTTCATGTTGTACGATCCTTAATGAATTTATCGTTTATTTTTTTAAGTTATCGGGGACTCGAGAATTGTGCAAAATTGGCGTTTTTTTTGTTATGCTTGAATAGAATTCATCGAGAGTTGTTTTTGATATATTCAAACAATATTCTTATAGTGAAACTTATGAAAATTAGGATTCAGAAGAGCCTATAAAAATTGAAATATACCAAAAGTATCGAATTTCGTCAGTGTCAATACTCATCGAAATTTTTTTAAATTTTACTATTCATATGTTTATGAAAAAAAATTATACAAGCTTTTAGGAAAGTATTGTTTAATCATTGAGAAAATCCAGTTTTTTGATATGATAGCAAAACGCCATCAACGCATGTTTGCCCTCAAAGATGTTGACAATCAGAAATTCAGTTGCGAATGAAACGAATAACATATTCAGAATCAACAAAAAAAACATCTGCATCGAATACTATACTCAATGCTTAAAATGAAATTTCGACTTCAGGATAAGTACCGGTGAGAGTATTCGAAAATAATAGTAAAAGAATATAAAAACCAAAATTTGACGAGGATTATTTTTAAGTATTGAGTTTATTATTCGATGCAGACTTTTTACTGATTCTGATTGTAATATTCATTTCATCACAACTGAAATTCTGATGGTCAAATTCTTTGAATATAAACTCGTATTTAGAGCTCGTTAAGTCCAAAATTTTCGGACACAGACACCGACCAGGTCGGAACCAATCCAACGGGCTCTACTTGTGTTTATCACGTTTTGCCATCATACTTTGAAAAAATCGATTCTCTCAACAATCAAACAATATTTTTCAAAAGTCATATAACCATATGACGAGTAGCATAAAAAAAATCCTGATGAATATTGAGACTACCGAAACTTGATGTCTTTTGGCGTATTTCAACTTTTATAGGCTTTTCCAATTTTTGTACACCTAACTTTCCTAAGTTTCACTACGAAAATATCGTTTGAATATATCAAAAGCAGTATTTGAGATGTTCCATTCAACTATGACAAAAAACACATCACTTTTGCACAATTCTCGAACTGCCAGCATCTCAAGCACGTTTCACTAGATAAAATTTAGTTAATATCGTATGTTCAAATTATTGTAGAATTCCATAAACATTATAGTCTGATGATAAAGAGGATCCAGTTTTGAAATAAGTTTTTTCTCCTGAATACTAATTCTTTGTTTTTAACAACAGATGCTCGATACACAAACTGAATTAGACGAAGCACTTAGTCGACCAATTACTAATGACACAACTGACATGGCAGAATTAGAAACTGAACTTGAAGAATTATTAAATCAACCAATACCACCAACAGTAACAACAACTGTTCCAACTAGTAAAGAAATAATTAATACATCCGTAACTGATGAAGCTATAAAAACACCTGAACAAGATCCATTTGCTGATCTTGAATTGCGTCTTCAAAAGTTAGGTGTTCAAGAATGTAAGTTCTAATTATTCAATGTGTTAAAAACAAGAAAAATTTCATATTCTATTTGTTAACTTTTTTTAGCAACACCAAATAAAGTAGCTGACATAGCATCAGCAAATCATTAATTTCGTATGTAAAATATTACGTTGTATTTATTCTTTGGTGCTTTTTTTTTCTTATAAATAGAATATTTTAACTGTAAAAATGTGCATTGTGTTTTTTTTTATTATCGTATTCATTGATTTGTGTAACATTGTAATATGATTCTAGACGAAGAAAATACCCTTAACATTAGAAATGCTTTCAGACCATGGCATTTTTCTTCCGTGTCCTTGTAAAATATAATATTATTTTTCAGCGAATAAGATTGATCCCAGAAAATAGAGTGCATAAACTTTAAAAGTATAGGTGATCTTTGCTATTGATGTAGAAAGATAAAAATTAATTTTCATGTACAACTAGTCTGTATTTCTTTTTTTTCTGTATTGCTTATTGTTTTGATTCATATATCTGGTTCATAAAATGAAATTATTTCTTCTTTTTGTGTTTTTTTTAAACTATGTACAAGCCGAACAAATTTGGTTTGTTAAGTTTTCACATAAACATGATTATTTATCACATATTGAAAAAACCTTTCCATTAATTGATCTACTTGAATATGACTATGATCAATCATCATATATTTTTCTTATACCAAAGAATTATTTGTTAAATTTTGCTCGTTTTATACAACAATTCGATGGTTTCTATCGAGTTATATTTGATATTATAAAAGATACATGGAAAAAATCTCAATTAAGATCAAAACGATGGATTCCACCCGATAATCCATTAGATAAAACTTATTATCAACATTTTCTTTCATATGATGAACAACAAAATTGGAACAGTTTACTTGCAAATTCTTCATTAACAAAAAAATTTATTCGTTTACATACAATTGGTCAGACATATGAAAACCGTTCACTTACTGTTGTACAAATTCATTCTAAATATCGTCGTCGATATAAACACCGACAACAGCGTAAACTGTCTGTATTTATTGATGGAGGTATGCATGCACGAGAATGGTTATCAATAGGTGTAGCAAACTTTGTTCTCATACAATTTCTTACATTAAAAGACAACGATGTTAAAGTTCAAAGAATTTTACGTTATTTTGATATATTTGTTTTACCAATTATGAATCCAGATGGTTATGAATATTCACGAACACAAAATCGTCTTTGGAGAAAAAATCGTTCACCAACTATTGCATCAGATTTTTGGAATGGCGACGAATCTTGTTATGGTGTTGATCTTAATCGAAATTTTCCTTATCAATGGGATACTGCATATGCTTCTTCCACTCATCCATGTTCACATTCATATCGTGGATCAGATCCATCATCAGAAAATGAAGTACAAAGTGTTGTTAATTTTCTTCAAACAAATAAGTATTCTTCTAATAAATTTCATGCTTATTTTAATTTACATGCTTATGGAAAATTCTGGTTATTACCATGGACTTATTCAACATTAGAAAAGGTATCGAATTACGAAGATTTATTAAAAAGATGTAATCAAATTGCATCAAATGTTATGAATCAAACATATAAAGTTGGACAAGCATCGTTTTTATTATATCCATGTAGTGGGACAAGTATTGATTTTGCTGCGACATTAATGCCACACGCAATGACCTTGGAATTGTCACCTATATTTAAGGGGTTACCAATGTGTTTTGAAACAAATCAAACTATTAATCATAACTGTACTGTTGGTTTTTTAACTGACCCAGAAGTAATTGAAATAGATGGAACGGAAATTTTTAATGCTATTGTTGAATATTTAAATTCTATTATACAGGATTATTTTCTTTCATGAAATACATAATAAAACATTTCTACAAAAAAATTCTATCTTTTCTTATTTTATTCTCTTTCAGACCATAAATAAAAAATCTAATACAGACAATGCGTCTCGAAACGTGTTATTATTGTTCGTCAACGGTTTGGCCTGGTCATGGTATTCAATTTGTACGAAATGATTGCAAAGTAAAAGATCGTTTTCGTTTTTTATCATCTCTATTTTTTTTATTTCAAAAAAAAAAGATCTTTCGATTTTGTCGATCACGTTGCCATCGTGCATTTAAGAAGAAATGGAATCCACGTAAATCACGATGGACAAAAGCACACAGAAAATTTACTGGAAAAGATTTAACAACGGATACAACATTTGAATTTGAAAAACGTCGTAATGAACCAGTGAAATATAATCGTGAATTATGGCAAAATACACGTAACATAAGAAGATTTGATTAATAATGAAGAAAAAAAAATGTTTTCTTATATAGTCAAAGCTATGGAAAAAGTCGAAGAAATTCGTACTAAACGAGAACGACATCATATCATGAAACGGTAAACCTCTTTTTTTATATCTGATAAATATACTGGGCGTCCCAAAAGTTTGTGCGAAAAGTTTGTGTACATACAAGCGATTTAGTTGCTTTTTTTTGTATAATATTCCTTTTTTGTCCTATGGTCTCTAGAGGGACCATGTTATGATGTGGGTGCCGGTGTGTATAATTGAGTTGGGTGAATAACCGAGCATTACGTTCAGCCACATACAGCATACAATGTGAATGTAGTGTTCATGCAATCACATGAACCATATTATCGTGCCTACTTTGTTGAAAGTTTCAAAAGTTTTTTCAAATAAAAAGAAATAACGAATGGATTACGCATTTAATATATCTGTGATTGACGGGTATGGTTCAAACTTTTCCTATGTATTTAAGAAGCATTGTCTTTATGAATTTGTTGGACACATTGCATCTTGTAATCGCTTTATAGGAAGATATGAAGTCATAATTCGGCTTAATACTGTTCGTGGAATAAGGCAGTCTATTGCAACATTCTGAACACTCCATGGTGACACATGTTCACAAGCCTCTCGAACTTCGTCCATTTACTGCCCTACTGATTTTGCAAAAGCATTCCTATTACAGTCTATGCCTGATGTTGGTAGACTAATTCGACTTAAAGTTTCCTTTCACAACGATAGGTGACTTACATTAGACCTTTAACAAAACTTCAAAGAATATACATACTATGATATTATAAAAAAAAAATATAAAAATCATTTGAACTGTTCACACATCATTCACGTCAACTTTCCACAAGAACTTTTGAGACATCCTATACATCGGCTATTTCAGACAAAACAGGACATATCTACATTTCATTTGACATTGATTCTTTATAGGGGTTATTTTTCTGAATCAATTCTTTTGACATAGACATACATTAAATTTTAGCTCCTTCAATTGACTTTTAGTTAAAAAAGTAAGCAGCGAATATCACTGTAATCATAAGAGAAAAAACTCTGGAAGCTTCAAGATAGACTCTAAGGCACGAGTCGTCTATATATTGAAGTTTTCAACAAGATCAAGCTTCAAAAACTTCCTATTGAAAACCGATTTTCTAGAGATCCTATCAAGCTTCGAAACAAAAACTTTTGTCTTATCATCACGTGGAAATTCTGAAGAAGAATTTGTATCTTTTGAAAACGCTTTTGAACTTCTGATTCTGCTAGAAAAGCATTTTTTCGTTTGTATAGTCGTAATCCATCATGTCGCTAACGAAAAATAAATCGAACTTTTTGAAAGAGTCTAGTCATGCTCAGAAAAAAATTTCGATAGAGGTTTTATAATTTCAGGAGTTGTCCACAGAATGTAGCATTTAGTTTTCGAACAACGCTGCTGTAATTCAGAGATTTTTCTAAACTAAAATGCATAAAGTGGAAGTCGATGTCCATTTTAAAGTTAGTTTTTTATTTCAACTCTTTTCAATAAAGTTCTCTAGCGCTGAATTTTTCAGTATATCTAAAGTAACTTAGCATACATGTCAACAAATAAAAATTAGCCTAGGATAGTTCATTGTTCCGAGATACATGTATTTTAATTTTGAAAAGTTATATTACTAACGAATGTTTGTACTCATAAATGTATAATTATTTTTTCTTAGACTTCGACAAGGTACACTTGATCGAAAAGCAGCTGATTTACGTGAAGTACGTGATTATATTCATCTTGTACGAGCACCAAATGCCACAAAACCTATGGAAGAAATTGAAATGGTACAAAAAGCAATAGCTAAACGTGAAGAAGCTGGAGAACTTTTAACAAAAATTGAAACAACAGCAGCAACAGCGAGAAAACTAAGTGCACTACGTCGTCGTGCACCAAAAATTAAAGTTACTATAGAAACATCGGATACAGAACAAATAATTGCCGAAAAGATGGAATAATCGATTTTTTTCTGTTTTGTTTTATTTTGTTGTTATTCTTTATTTGAAACAATTAGAAAAACAATAAAATCTCACTGTATCGATGTTTGTAAAAAAAAACAAATACACCATGAAATAGAATCTTTATTTTTTTTAAACTTTCTTTTAATTATTTTATTGAAGATGATCTATGTCTGGCCGTCGTTCTAAACTTGCACTAGATGTTCTTCGTCTTTATGCTGAATATATGCGTTTAAGTCGACAAGTACAAGGTTTAAGAGATATAGCGCGTCTTGAATTTAAACAATATAAAGATCTTAAACCAAAAGATAATCTTATTTATATTGAATATCTTATTCGACGAGGTAAATCTCAATTAACAACACTTAAAGGTCAAGGTGTTACATCAATACAATTGTCATCACAAAAATCCAAATAATGGCAGAATCTTTATCAAATATTCTCGCTAACTTTCCATCAAATTATACGATAAATGGGCATAACAATCAACAACATATAACATTTGCATTTGGTTATGGTTCTGGTGTTTTAAAACAACAACAAGATATAAACAAATCAACAAATCAAAATCAAATTGATCTTATTTTCGCTGTCAACAATTCATTTAAATTTCATGAAGAAAATCTTCAATTAAATCCACATCATTATTCATTTTTAAGACACTTTGGTGTATCAACAATAACACGTATACAAGAAACAAGGGGAGCTAGAATTTATTTTAATCCATATGTAAAGTTTAATAATGATTCAAATACGCTTTACAAATATGGGATCATTTCACGAAAACATCTTATTAGAGATCTACTTGATTGGGAAACACTTTATGTTGCTGGTCGTCTTCAAGTTAGTTTTCTTTTTATCTTTTTGATTCATTAGATTATGTTTATTACACGAGTGTTAACTCGAATAGATCTTAAAAATTCTCAGTACTTGATCATATATTTTTATGCTGTTCCAAACATAGGCGGCGAAAAGTTGAGAACCTAATAGTAGGCTCAGCAATCTTTATCAGATCCTCACCGGTAAATTAAGGAATGTGGATGAGGTCGAATTATTTTATTCTATTTAGATGAAATACAATTAGGAATTCTTTTTTACAACTCACTGCTTGCACTATATAAAGTTAATATGGTTCAGAAAAAATTCGCGTCTTTACATATTAAAAAAACATGCATTTGGAGAAACACGCTATAATTTATCATTAAAAATTTCGATTCTCAAAAGAAGAGTTGTCGATCTGCTTTACTGAAAAAAAGAATAACGAAGGAGCAGCAGCGTTCACAAAAAAAAAGAAATTGCATTTTCAGTTTGCACACTTTGTTGAAAAAGTTTCGTAGGTATGTAAGTTTAGTAAATGAAGACAACGAAAACTTTCAGCAACTTGTAGTTTATCTAACTCGCATCTCCAGTGCAATTCTTTTTCACTTCTAACAAAGAAATATTATTTCAAGGCATTGACAATGTGAGTGTGAGTATGATTGTGGGCGTGTATGGTCGTGCATGTCGTGTAATGGAGGGTGTGGCTGTCGTTTTTCGGTTGTCTCAACACACACAGAGACATCCATATTTGAAAATCCATGGAAAAGATTGTACCATATATTTCTTATATATCGTGGTATTTCTAGTATCCTGAATTTCCAGATGTAAGACTTTACTCTAGTTGTTCACAATTTGTAGGCAAGCAATGCGTGATGATACTAATTCTGTTTGAAACGCTATAGGTGCTTCAGTTGTTGTTGTTGGAGTTCCGAGAGTTCCATAAGTTTAGAACTCACTGAATTGGAACACGTCTCAGATTCCAATTGAAATTATCAATATGACTTTAACAAGTGCTCGTTATCATTCATTTTTATTTGAATTTTGAAATTTATTATTGTAACTCTTTTTTTTAGAAACCAGTAAGTGTTATACAAATTGATCAAACCGATCAAGATTTAATTTATGCACTTAAAACAAATTTAAATAGTGCACTACATGTTGCTTTACTTCTTTTACCTGAAGAATTTACATTAAAAGATTTATTTCTTAAAATAGCATCTCTATCATATCAAGGTGATTTTCGTATGTACATTGGAGAAAATAAAAATAAAATATCAAATATAGTTCTACCACAAATTGATGTATTTATTAATCTTTATTCAAATTTAATATTAAATGATACACATTTACATTGGAATAAAATTCGAACATTGGATACAATGGTTAAACAAGATGTATCACCAACATCAATATTTAAACGTTTACTTGCTTTACCTAAACATGTTATTACTAATATAATGGAATCAATAACATTAAAAACAAGACAATATCAAGATACAGAAGAAGTGATTAGAAAATTATGTCTTAGTACACAACGAAGAGAAAAAATTGAGCATGCTGTACGATCAATTGTTAAAAGATCAAGTATAACACAAACATTTAAGGGTGTTTTAACTGCTGGTTTTCTTCGTAGTACTCGTTATGCTTTAGCGAAACTAAAAAAAATGATTCGTTAATTTTGATTTGTAATTTTTGTTTGTTTTTTTCATTAAAAAAGAATGCCTAATTTTAGATGAAAATTGCTGTTGTCGGTCTAGGTGGAACAGGCAGTGCAGCGCTTCGTTTCCTTGCATGTTCTGGACATAATGCTATTGGATATGAACGATTTCATATTGGTCATGAACATGGTAGTTCTCATGGAGAATCACGAATAATTCGTTATACGTATCCGGATGTTTTATTTACTCAAATGATGAGTGATGCATATGAATTATGGTTTGAATTAGAAAAAGAAGCCGAAGAACAATTATTAGTTCAATGTGGTGGTCTTTATTTTGGTGATAATAATGATCCGAATATTTTGGCTACGGAACATGCATTAATTGAAACTAATTTACCTTATGAACGATTAAATGCTGAACAAGTAAAAGAAAAACATCCAGCTTTTCATTTATATCCAAATGAAACAGCTCTTTATCAAAAAGATAGTGGATTTTTACGTGCAACACGGTGTGTCGAAGCAAATATTCGTTTAGCTAAAAAATATGGCGCAATCGTTCATGAAAATACAAAAGTCTCAGAAATATATACAAAAAATGGTAAAACATTTATTCAATCATCTTTAGGTGAAGAAGAATATGATCGTGTTATTGTAACTGCAGGCCCATGGATGAGTTCTTTATTTAAATCTTTAAATTTACCATTAGTTCCAACTCGACAACAAGTTGTTTATCTTAATATAAATGATCATGATGAATATTTTAAAGCCAATGGAACATTTCCTGTATGGATTGACACAACAGATAATCTTTACGGTTTTCCAAGTGATGGTCAAATAATTGGAATTAAATTAGCATTTCATCATCGTGGTGAAGTTATATATGATTTAGATGCTGAACGAGCTCCAGTTGATGAAAATTATATACAAGAAATTCGTTGTTATGCTAAAAAACGTTTTTCAAATTTAGGTTCCAATGTAACTTACGGTCAAACATGTGTTTATACAAATACATCTAATGGAGATTTTATTATTGATCGTGCAACCAATCAACCAAATGTGTTTTTAGTTAGTGGCTGTTCTGGACATGGTTTTAAGTTTACAGTTTTATTAGGAAAAATCATTTCCATGATGGCTACAGACGATAATGGATATAAAAGAAATTTAGATCGATTTAAAATTAGTAATTTTTTATAAAATTTTAAAGAGATTTTGTAATGACTGAGTGTTTTGTAATTGATTAATATTAATTAATGATTCAACGATTTTCATTTTCTTTTTTAGATTTCTGTTCTTATTTTGATGATCGATGCAAGCTCAATTTTTTTCAAATTTTCGGTAAAATTTATTTTGATTTTTAATCAATGATATTTGTTTGTTTTTACTCTTAGTGATTCTAATCGGAATCAATTTGATCTTCAATGCTTACTTATATTAATTTGTTTTGTTTTTTCATGGCTTTTTATTTATCTAACGACAAATGGTAATAAAAAAAAACTAAAAATGTTTCTCTCTTAAAGATTTTTATTAGATGAACTTTGTAAAGCAATATTTATTCAAAATAGTCTTATATCAACATGGACAATAATATATTCAATACGAATAATATTACCATATTCTCCAAAATATAGTTTTGCTTTTATGATATTTCAATGTACAGTAACAATACTTAATGGTTCAGCAATGCTTATGATGCTTTTTTATGAAGGTTTAAATGTTAGACTTCTTTTAAAGATAATTATAATCATTGTTGTTTAGATTTTGGCTTATGTTTATTATTGGTACTTTCTTTATTTTTGAGTAAATCAATATTTATTGCTGGTCCAACACTTTGCCCAAAGACATGTTCATTTCTTGAATGGTTATTAATATCAATGGGTTGTAGTGGTTTTTTTTTATCAATTAATCTTCATTGGTGGTCACATTTTGAAGTAAAAAAGTTTGAATTATATTATTTATTGAATGTTTTTATTAAATAGGATGTTATTAATCGTCCAATTTATACTCTTGATTATGTTGTTGTTTGTGAAGTAAGACAAAAAGATGTTTATTTTTAAATTATTTTAGTATTATAGTGTTTGCTTTTGTTTGGTATGATTGTATCGATTTTACAAATAATTCCATGGTCAAAAGCCATAACAACTACAACACAATTTTATATTTCATTAATAACAATATTTTCGAGTGTTTTTCTACCTCAAGCATATTTTTTTCTAAATGAAAATCCATTTATATGGTTATTTAATTATATTCTGAATAAAGCACATCGAGTGAGTGAGTATATGATAAAGTTTGTTGTTGTTTTTTTTCTTGTTGAATCTTTTGCTATTTGTAATTTTTTTTATAGGTTTATTTATTATTATTTTGGCTAATTATATCATTATTTTCATTATTAATTGTTAATCTTCATTTGAAATTTACAAAAAATCTTAATATTAAACATGAAAAAACAATAATAAGAAAATATTTTCATTTTTTAGCTATTATTGTTTATACAAGCGGAATATTATTTGATACAAATCTATTAATTATGTGTTCTGTTGCATTTATCGTTTTACTTTTATTATTAGAGGTAAAAATTAATTTCCAGCAAACAAATGATTAGTCAAAAGAAGAAAAAATTTTAATTCGTTTATTTTTTAGTGCATGAAAATAAGAAATATTGCTCCATTAGGAAATCTTATACGTAATGCATGGAATATGTATGAAGATGAGAAAGATACAGGATCAATGATGGTGTCACATTTATTTCTTATTATTGGTTTATCTTATCCAGTATGGCTAGCTGATGATAGTAAGTTCAATTTTAAAAGAAAATAAATAAATAAATTTATTAACAAAAAAAAAATTCTAGACAGACGTCTAGCACAATTAAGTGGAATTATAAGCGTGGGCGTTGGAGATTCGATTGCATCAATTGTTGGATCTAAACTCGGTACTCATAAATGGCCAGGTACAAAACGAACTTTAGAAGGCTCATTAGCCGGCTTATTTGCACAATTTATTTTCATTGCTTCCATGTGGTATTTCGGTACGTAAATATTCGACACATTAATTTTTTGGTTTTGTTTATTTCATGCATCAATGACAATATATGTGTTTTTTGATACGCATTCGAATAGTCAATCATTCTCGTAATCAAAAAGTACTATGTGTCTAGATTTTCTTTTGTCATAAAAATGTATACATCACGAGATAGACGTTGTTTAAGTATTCAATGATTAGTCACGAGTAGTAATCAAGAAAAAGCATTGACGTCAATCACAAAAAAACACAAAAAGTATTGAAAGCGATTTAAATACTTTCATCACTTTTCATTAAGTTAATGGATGAATAATTCTTTTTCTTTTAAATTTATTATACAATGCAAAATCCATGAGACTCATTTCTCAATATTAAAAATTGAATCAATCTAAATTCTAACTATTGTTTATTTTACATATGGAAGTTTCAGATTTTGTTCGTTCAAAAAAAAAATAATCGAATTTACTTGTTTTCAATATTTTCCAAATATTTTCGTATTTGATATTAGATCAAATCACATTTTATTATAATTGGTTTTTTTTCTTCGTCTCAATAACAAATATTTACGTCGGGAAGAAATAATTGCATTTAGGTGATTTGCAAGGACACGATAAGGTAAAAGAAACCATGAAGCGAATGCGGGTCATCCCACCTTGAAACAACAAACGTAGAATGTATGTGAAGGAAATATAGGAAAAAAATCAACATCACGTTCACCGTTTTATGAATCATAATCATTTAGATTACTTTATGAGATAAGATGTCTTATGATGATTGTGAATAAAGATTTCTGAATATGTTAAAGTGGATAGATGAATATTGACCGTAACCATAATTAGTTGCAATGTAGAAATAATTACCGTACTGAAAATTTTATCAAAGTAATTTTATAACTATTAAAGAAAAATAATTCAAATGGAGAAAAAGAAACTAACAATATATTCACGAACATAAGGTTTCGTATATGAGTGCGAATACGAATTCTTCTAGTTGTACAGGACATATTAAACAAGAATACGAAATAGTTGCTTTAGAAATTTGTAGTAAAATCTCTGCACCATGGATACCATATAGTGGACATGGCAATATAGTTCTATAATAAACATTTTTAAAAAGTTCTAATGGTGTCCAAGACATGGAGATTTTATTATATACTAACAAGTATCAATTTTTCAAGAATCAAAATACATGAAAAGACAAGTAACAATTAGCAAAATGTAAATTCTTTTTTTGAATCACTAATACCCTTAGATGCATAGAAAACACGTCTGTTTCTTGTAAAAAAAAGATTTCTTTTAGAAAATACCTAGCGTGCTTATAGTGAGCATTTTTGAAAAGTCTGAATGGTGTTCACTGTAGAAAAGTTATACTGTACTATAATTAATACAAGTTTTTCTTGTTTTAAGATTGTTGCTTGCTGTGATATTTGTTATTTCATAGTGAATTTAGTTTTAATCTTTCCGTAATATTTCAATAAGTTCAAATAAAAATAAATAAATGTTGACATTCAATTATCGTTCACTAGCGAGATTTTTCTACTTATCTTTTGCATGAGATAGATCTTCATTTTTAATATGCTGCTCTCATACTTTGTCATTGTATGTGTTTGAGAGGTAAACAAATACTACGTTACTATCAAATATATTATCAATTCTACACTGTGGCTAGTAGCCGTTTGATCAGCTGTTATGCTTTCGTTTTAAAATGAATACCAGCAGAAAAATTAAAAAAAAAATATCTTTATTTAAGATTTGATCCCTGATACATTGATTTTTCTCTTTTTTTTAGATATTATTCCATATTCTCAATATAATTTATTCTTTGTTTCATTGGGTCTACTATTTACAACTCAAACAGAAGCATTCTCTCATGATATTGACAATTTAACATTACCTATTTCACTTTTTCCTTTTTTATATGCATGTAAAACGTATTAATATGGCGGTGATATCAGATGATAAAATGTTGTTGTTGTTGTTGTTTGTTTTTAATTTCTTATTCTGTTAAATTTTATTCTACTTGATTTCATATAAAAAGGAAATAAAGAAGAAAAACTAAGCAAAAAAACGACAAACAAGAAAATAATACATCATTCCATTAAACATGTTAATGTCGACTTTATGCACAAATCATGATGTATAAATAAATGATTAATTCACTTGTATATTATATGTTTATATTTGAATGTCAATTCGTTCGCCATAAGCTAATAAAATTGATAATATTTGCTCTATCTTACGTAAATATGTTTTTTTACATCTAGTATCTATAAAGATATTCCTTTTATTTCTTCAGCAATGTAAAACCTCAATAGCAGCAATCCTTAAGCGAAAGAGTGAAATAAAATACTACAGAAAATTGAAAAAAGGAACGTAAATTCAATGATCATCCTTAAAACTTAACTCTATTGGAAAAGTTTTATATTGTCTATATTAGTTTTTTTATAAGCCTTGTTGGAAGAAGCGCTGGAATTCAGAACGATCAATCAATCCATCGCGATTGGTATCAACAGTATTGAAGGCAGCACTAGCAACATCTACTCCGCCAAGACCTCCGTATGATTCGTATGATGATGATGATGTTTCATATCCACCACCATATCCAGCACCATATCCAGCACCATATCCAGCACCATATCCACCACTATATCCAGCGCCATATCCACCACCATATGCTAAGGATCCGCCATATCCACCACCGCCCAATGAGTAACTTGATGCATCATAGACTGAACTTCCACCAGCTAAACCAGCATCTAATGAGTGTCCACCTTCCCAGCCTGCTGATGAACTAAAAGCACCAAGATCTTGACCATAGGTTGCTGCACCGTAACCAACAGCAAAACCTGGAGGTGACTAAATAATACAACCAAAAGGAGTAGATATCGTTAAGTAGAATAGAAAGAATAAATACTTACGATATCTTCGACAACACCAGCAGCACGAGCTTGTGCAATAAGTGAAGCACCATCAAGAAGGTGAAAACCATATTGTTGGACATAAGCTGCTGGATTAGCTTGAACAACACCAAGTCGTTGGAATTGACGAATGACGCGTGCTGGAGCGGGTTCGTATTGAATGATAATATTACGTGGATGAGGATATGGTTGAGCAGGTGGTGCACGTTGTAAAATTGTGCGACGTCTAGCTTGTGGTCCATATGGAACCCATCGTTCGATGATGATATCACCTGTAGAAAAAATAAAAATGTTGAATATAAAGTTTTAAAAAAATGCACAAATTTCTACGTACGAGGACGAGGTGGAAGAGGTGGTAAACGTTCAATAATGACTGATCGTGGTGGAACAGGTAAACCTGCTAAACGACGAATAACAGTTTGTGAAGCAATATATGGTGGTGGTTGTGGTGGACGTTCACGAAGAACGAGCGGAGGAGGTGTAGGAAGTGGAGGAGCTTGTTGACGAATGCGAAGTGGTGGTGGAACTGGTGGTTGAGGTGGGCGCACTTCTCTGATGATGAGTGGCTAGAAAATAGAAAATTTTCAACTAATCAAAGAAACAACACTAGTAAGGAAAAATAACTTACACCTGGAGGTGGAACTGGTGGTGGTTGAAGGAATCGAACTCTGATGTTTTGCGTGTAGGTTTGTACACCACCAGCAGCTGGACGACGAATGATTTGTGGATTTGGATCTTGGTAGAGACCTTGAGCATCAGTTGCATATGTTTGTGCAGCATATGATGCTCCGGCATCATATCCAAGGCCTCCACCACCAACAACAGTAACATTAGCGGCACCAGCACCAGCACCAGCACCATAAGCTGCTGATGAATCAAATGATGAAAGTTGGTATGAGGATGCACCACCATAACCAGCACCACCATAACCAGCACCACCATAACCAGCACCACCATAACCAGCACCAAGATATTCAGATCCATATGCACCGCTACCGTATGATCCAGAAGTTTCATAGACTGATGAGCCACCGCCAACTAAACCAAGACCTGCACCATATCCAGCACCGCTGAGTTCATAGCTTGATGAGCCACCCCATCCAGCTCCATAACCGCCAGCACTACTCCATCCACCTCCAACATCACCAGCACCACCGACGAATTGCTGAAATTCCCGACGATCAATGGTACCATCACGGTTGGTATCAACCGTGTTGAAAATAGCGCGTGCAGCATCGAAACTCATGGTTGTAGATAATCACTAGTTATTTCTAGTCGATGAGACTTGAATGAGAACGATAACGATGAATGTGATTATTATGAATATTTCTGCTTGCTTTTATACTTCAACAAGAGTAGTATAACGACGATAACCCCTCGACTCAGTCAAGCGTATATTGTGTAAACAATTTTTTTTTCTATAGGTTTATTGCTAAAAATATTTTTTTTTCTTAATTTCTCTCCTTGTAGTTGATTGACAACGCTCCCTTATCACTACCATATAACCACCAATCACTGCATGCATCTGCCTAATTACACCTTTTTTTTTTGTGGTTATTTATTACCACATAGACAAATATACGAAACAAGAAAAAAAACATTACTTCTCTCTCTCATTAAATGTATCACGTCATGCACGACAGTAGCAAAAAAAAATTAGTTTTAGAGATGGTTAGGACAAAAAATAAAGGGTCTATTCATTCTCATGACAATAGTCCAAGGTTCCTCATATCAAAAAATGTCCAACTCTTTAGCTAAATCATGCTTGCTCGTATTTGTTTGTTTTTGACAATTTTTTAAATTTAGATATGTTAGCCACCTTACGTAAATAAATAATAATAAAGCATTACTATGTATTCTAATTTTGGATTGCAACGTATGCATTCTTTGTATAATCATAAAAATACCAAGTATAATCAACATATTTTTTAGCTTTTCCTTGTGCAATAAAATCATTCCCTACTACATGGTGATTATTATATAATTACATTTTGATATTAGAAATTTTCATACATTGCAAAGTAGCATTTTAGTCAAATGAATAGTTTTTGTGCAAGATTCTTATGTTGCCTATGTATGGATCAAGTTTTCTTTGATTAGCGATAGATTTTAAAAAATTTATTTTCGATGAAATAAGAATAGAAAGAAATTATTAAAAATTAAGCGTATAATTATCAAATTTTTTGACAAACCCTTCTCTTATGTAAACAGTCGATTAATGATATGATTCTAGAAACAACAAATATGATACGTATGAATAAATTAATGAGGGCTGCTAATGTAAGTGGAGAAAAATTGGTCATATATGTATCTTGTGTAACATCATTTATATTAAAAGAATTATGAGAAAAATAAATTTTTCTTCAAAATGATATCTTATCAAAATTTTCTATTCAATTGAAACGTTTGAAATATAAAATATAAAGTCTCTTTCAAGAAATCTTCACTTTACATGCATCTAAGTTTTGATTGTATTTAATTGTTTATCGTCCATATTAACTTAAGATTGATAGAATTGAACACAAAATCAAAACAGTATTAATTTTCATATTTTATATCAGTATAACTACTAGAATCATAATTGATATTTATCATATTAAAGATCACGAACAAAAAATGATTTATCAAGCACTTCTATCTATTTCAATAAAACATATCAATAAAAAAGTTTTTATACATGGCCTGCTTGGTTTTTTGTATATTTCGATTGGTAAATAAACAACTTAAATATAGGCAAACGTGATGGTATGTTAATTTGAGAATGGTTATTGTTTTTTTTTATCTATCCTTATAAGCTTTTATACCATGAAAATATTAAAATAATTTTACACAATTGAAAAATCTCCTGTTATTCGATAGATTATTGAATAATAATAAAGCATATTTTGTTGCAAAATTTTCTAAGATTCAACATTTCTATATAAATATATTTGATCATAAGAAGAGCAGAGAACAAGTATTGTTGATCACCAATGTTTTTTTTTAATAGTGATTTTTCATAATATCTTCTTGAATGTTTTTACACTACCCATAGAGCTCCTCATCTATATTCATCACTTTGCTTTCAGTGATCAAACAGATAAATGTATGATTAAAACAATTTGTGGATAGACTGTGTATATCTGTAAATAAACTTTATATCTATTTAAAAATATAATTCTTCTCCAGATTGATGACATCCTATATACTAATTGGTCTAGCTGACAGAGAACATCAAAAAGTGTGAGTGTTGTGGCGTTGTTGTTCTGGTACAGTATCAAAAATATTGCTTCCTTGGCTAATATTGTAAAATTTATTTATATATTATCGCTCTCTTTGTACAATGTATTTTTATTCTTAGGTAAGCCAATGATACCCTTAACTATTTTGTCTGATTTACAGTGAGGAGCATCAAAGAATGTCAGAGTGCGATTGTTGTCGATCCAGAACAACACCTGCGCTTTATTGGCAAATAAAACGTGAAATGATTGCTGAAAAAAATTGATGATGAAAAATATTGTCACGTATTGAAGCAGGCAGTATAAGGAGATATCGTATCAGACAAGCAAGTTGTTTTATAATAATCAACCATATAACCTATATCTGAATTAATTATGAGGTTATTATAACAAAAACGTCAATTTGATAATTCACCTTTATTTAGATTGATAATTCATTAATCAAAACTTATCATTGTGTTTTTAATTGAATAATATTTTTGTTTATCATCTGCGTAATCATCGAATAACTATTATAAATATATTATTGTAGACTCTAAATCTTATTGGCATATTAATGAAACAGTTGAATGAATATATTGATGTATCATAGTCAAAAAACCTTGTGAATTTTTATCACTGAACACAGCATCGACAACAATAGTTTAAACAAAACTTCTTACAGTTTCATATAATATCAATGCTCTTTTAATATAATAATTTACAAAAAATCACTTCACTTAATTCGTTTTCTCAAGAAGAAAATTTATTAAAATACTGTTCGTATTTGTTCTTCAATGATAACGGCAAAATTTTAACGCTCTTACATTACTTTGTATACGTGCAATATTATTCTCTGTGCTCTTCAGTTCTTTTCTATTAATGTAAACGAACTAGATATCAGCTCATACATATTTAAAAGGATAAGAATCAAAATAATGTCGTAATCAGTATTGATCATTGCTCTGGATTTCATCTTTTGCCTGGTGTATATTTTATCGAAATGAAAGAAGCCAGTTTAACTACGCATTTTGTCAAAATGACTTCACGTATCATTTATGTATTATATCATATTTTTTTGGATGAATTGACGTATGATTCAAGTAACTTGACTTACATTTATTGACATACATTATCTGCAAGATATTCATACAAATTAAGTCTTGAATTTTTATAATCGAATTTTCTCGATATTGTTATCAATAATTTGATATTGCATATAAGATTTTATTAACATAACTCATAATCTTAATATTGCTCTAATTCATAACATCATTAAAAAAGTTTTAATTTCAGTACAGATCAATTCCGTATTGTATGAGAAATTTAATATAGAAAACATCGTCATTCAATATTTATTCTTTTGTTCTTCTATTTTGTTTACTACAGTGTATTTCATAAATAGCTTTATGATAAAAAATCTTAATATTTGTGCTGTGTGCAACTGTATGTGACTAATTTTTTTCCGTGATAAAGGAAACTTCAAAGTTCTTTTTCCATGGGAACTTAATGATCTTACAAGTCATTACATGAATCTATAATTGCGAAGTATATTTTTTTCAAAGCCTCTCTAAAAACAACAACACATCACAAAATGACATACACGATCGAATATATTCGTCGAAGGACAAATGCATGCACGCATGAATCTGTTAAGACCATCTGCAACACCGTAAAAGATAGAAATTCATTATTGAAGCCAACATGATACTTTAAAGCAATATTTATATATATTATTTTTTATGAAGAACAAACAATTCTGTAGTCTTCTCTATTACGAATAAAAATTAGCTCTGTAGAGTGGAACATAGGTGAAGATATTCAAGCTTTTTATCGTAAAACTACTTATGAGCCATAGTGTATAAAAACTCAACGTCTTTTATTTTTAGGACAGATGAGATTTTATCTGGTATAAACTTAATTGGTATAGCAAAAAAGTACTGAAATTAAGATATGTCAAGCATAATTAAATAGAACTCAATTTATTTATTTTAAAATATTTTATGAAATTCACATATTTAACGAAGAAAAAGAGTGAGTGTAAATTATAAGGTGAGGTCTTCTAGTATTCTTTCATGCAATTCAAGGCACACCTTGATAATGAGGGTATAAATCCATGATTTTAACGCCGCCAACTGTTATAGCAATGCTGGCCAAAGTGCTCGCAATGGACTATAGCAACCAGAATCTAATATCGGTGGGTAAATTTCCATATTGACCAAGAGCAATAGGTATCAAACTACCTTTCTACAGTTCCTTATTAATAAAAAAAAAAGGCACTGAATGCATTAACAATAAGGTTTAGACAGTTCGAGGATTTTCCAAACATTTTCTTGAAATTTAAATAACTGAAATATGTATCTAAGTATTCTAAATAGCGCTATGTCAGATATTTATAGAGATAAAATGTATCAAAGACGATGATTGATGATATTTTGCTTTTTACATTTAGTGTATGAATTACACTGGAAGTATGAATTGATGAAGTTGTAACTTTTGGAAATAATCAATATCAGCGTGTCCGAAGTTATCGGGTACATCGTAGATATCTGTTGTAAATACAATAGATGTGTACAGAAGACTTATTTATCAGTTAAATCAATTGCTAGAATGATAATAGTAGGAACTTAATAAAAACGAAGCAAAAAAGAAATAAAATCAATAGAGAGTGAATAGCAACAACATCGATAAATAAGACAGATCATTTTCTGACGATCGATTAGTTTTTTTTGGAAAGAAACTATTATCTGTCAGATATTTTTCAATTAACGTATTTGTTTGTTAAAATAATGAAGCTGATAAAAGACATGCGAGTCTTACATTTCAGACCTAAAAGAGCTGCATTGACAAGCTTTTTTTGTTACATCGAAAAAACAAATTTCAACACGTTCTCAATACATCAAGTAAAACTAAATACAATTACAAAACATTCTGACGTTACCAGTTCATTTCTTTTAATAGGGTAATACGAATGACAAAGTAGACGAAAATTTATTATGCCGGATTGTATACTGTCTATTCTATCTGTTGACAGTTTTTCTTTAATTAT